TCAGTCCTAAGAGCACGAACGATTCCTTGTACATCTTTTCTCAGATGGCAAATGAGCGATGCACTTTTTCGTTCATCGAAAGGTAATGAAGACATCTGCTTTGCCCAATCCCAAAGTTCGGTTAATACAGTTTCTTTATTAGATGCTAAGCGGAACGTTTTACCTTTCTGGGGTTGGTAAGTGTTATGGACAACTGAAAAATGCTTGCCCCTTCGAAGTGATTTAATCCATTCTATATTGAGATCGGTTAAATCATTATCCATAACAATAATGCGCCTCGCGGAGTGAATCAACTTATATAAATACTCTCTCGATCGCCCCGCTAAGCGAGTGTGGGCTTGACTATTCACGGATACTACCTCATCTAACCATAAATCATATGGTATTGGAGGACACTTACATTTTTTCTCGCATTTGCAATTATTAGTAATGCGATGTAAACTTTCTATTTGACATACTACTCTTTGATGATCTGGAAGATTTATATCTTTAGTATCGATATCACAGTAGGATTTGAGATTTAGCCTTGTAGTAACGGCACTAGAATAGGTATGCCGTGTAGATAAAGCAAGCAAATTTATACCATCGGGAATAGTAAGATGTTCTAACGTATAAGTTTTTCCCGTCTCCCAAGGTGATCCTACATATACATCGCCCTCCTCGGGTAAAGGTTTTACATATCGCTCCTCATATACTTCTGTTACAGTAAGAGGGGGATCACAATTAAACCAAGCTGGCATTTTTAAGAAAGGCCATGGAAATTTCGGACCCTTCACCTTACGTATAACGGGTGGTGAAATATTATTTTTTTGCTGGATTTTTTCTGCAACAGATGGGTCATTGAAAATTTTCCCTGATGCGTCACGATTTTGCTGGAAGCATTTCACAATGAATGAACCATCATAACACGCGCGACCGAACCACCGCTGATCCTTGTCGTGTGTGCGATTGCATAGTGGACATTCTTGATATGTTTTTCGATTGAAATATACATACCATTGAGAATCTTTTTCTTCGATATCCCAACCACCAAGATAATCAGGATACTTCTGCAAAACTAGATTTGCGTATTTTTTTAACGCATCTTGACCCACGATTATTTTTTTCTGATTATTTATTTTTTCTATACTAAGTATACGGGGTCTTACTTCATATCTCGAACTAGTAGGTGGTTGAACTCTGGCGTCATTGAGATCATTCCACCCATTATCTAGTGAGAATTGAAGTATGCGCTTTACGCGGTCTTTTTTCGCAGAACCGATGATGCGAAGATTAAAATTTCGACCAGGTAATCCCTTATCAATAAACTTACCATATTTTTCTCCCGTTAATTTATATACCAATTCTGTAAATTCTTTAAGCTCCTGATAGTCAATAAGGAGAGCTGGAGCGTATAGAAGGTGGTAACTACATTTGTTAGAATCGGAGGATGAAGCAATTACCAGTCCTTTGAGAATTTCCTCCCAACTACAGTCAAGGATTCGATATAATGCTCTTATAAATGAACAACAAATACGAATAAAAACGTCTTCAGCAGTTACAGTATCAGCTCGCATTTTCTCACTAGAGGCATCAATATCAATCACAGGTCTCAAAGGTCGTTGTCCGTTAATACATTCATGTACTCCAGGAACCCCATATACTTCAGAAATATTATCTACAACTGAATATTTATAATAACCCCTCTGCTCTACTTGGATGACTAATCTATCAACCAATTCTTCTCGTGTGTACGCATCAAGCAGACTAATTCCTTCTTTTGCTCCGTAATTAGGTAAGAGATAATCCCATAAATGTATATCTTCTAATGATCCTTTATTGTTCGACATATCTCTGACAGGTGAAAAGACAATTTTGCGAATTCTATTTAGTAGATCCATTTGAGTGAATTTATTATCGAACTTTTCTTGCCTTTGAGTATATATAACTCTCACCCGATCTGTGGAATACGCCGAATTAGACATTTGTTCTTCTACTTTAGGGGGTTGGGGTATTGGAGACTTAATAGTAGTCTCAGTATCTGACTCATAATTATCACATTCTTCAGATTCGCATTCGGATATGTTGTCACTATAGACATCTGAGTCACTTGAATAGTCATCCGTTTCCCCGCCGTCGTACCGCTCGAGCTGTGCGTTGCGTGCTGTCATTTTTTTATTAGTATGTATCAATCTTTGTTCGATTATATTATTATAAAATAGTTTGGAAAAGTTTAAATTATTTTTTTTTTTCAGTCGGTATACAGCGATATCGGAAAAAAATGCATCGGGAGTTTTAGTAAGATGAATAAGGGAATTGCGGTCTCGATTAGTGAACACTTTGGGTATATAACTTCGGTAATAGATTA